AAATTCTGCCTGTGATATCCTCACTAGTATGTGTCACTGGTAAAAATTAATATTTGCTTACAAAGAGGAAGTAAAATGCCATTGTTGTAGATTCATTTTCTAGTTCCTTAATGATCTCGAATATTTTTAATATTTCATGTTATCCCAGTTCCCTTTCCATAAATTAGCCATCTAAATATTTTGCCTATTTGCCTATTAAAATGTTTTCCTGATTTCTTTTTTTAAAAAGATTTTTTATTGGAAAGTCAGATATACAGAGAGGAGGAGAGACAGAGAGGAAGATCTTCCGTTCACCGATTCACCCCCTCCAAGTGGCTGCAAGGGCCGGAGCTGAGCCCTTCTGTAGCCAGGAGCCAGGAGCTTCTTCCCTTTTCCTCACATGGGTGCAGGGTCCCAAGGCTTTGGGACACCCTCAACTGATTTCCCAGGCCACAGGCAGGGAGCTGGATGGGAAGTGGGGCTGCCAGGATTAGAACCAGTGTGTTATGGGATCCCAGTGCATGCAAGGTGAGGACTTTAGCCACTAGGCTACCATGCTGGGCTCCTGATTCCTTCATACAAATATTTTTCCTAATGGTTTGTAAATTATGCTTTAAAGAAGCATTCCGTATAAAACACATAAAATGGTCATTTATGTTTCCTTCTGAAAACCTGAATCCCTTGTTTTTTAGTTTTAGCCTTTAACCCTACCAATATTTATGTATGTATTTAGCATACAAATATTATAGGAAGTGAAATTTCTATAAATATAACCAATTATCTCAGCACTATTTATTAAAGTCTACGTTTACTTTCATTTGTTAAGCCACTTTCTCCATAAATTAGTTTCTTACATTCTATTTGTTAATTCTTGTTCCAATGCCTATTTTCAGTAGAAGTAGTTTAAATCAAATTTCTCTGTCAAATAGAAGATGACTTCCCAGGAAACGTGGGAAGCTTGCAACACCCAGAATCTCACATCATACAATGGTTCAAATCCCGACTGCTCTACTGATCCAGCTCTGCCCTGCCCTGCATGGGAAAGCAGAGTAGGGGCTCAGGGACTTGGGTTCCCCTCACTTGCAGAATATCCAGACGGAATTCAGGCGTCTAAGCTTTGGCCTGGCCCAAGCCAGGCTGTTTCGGCAATTTGGTAACTGAACCAGTAAAGGGAAGATCTCTTTCTCTCCTGATTCCCCTTTCTCTCCCGATTCCCCATCCACTTGATCTTCAAATATGAGAAATCTTTAAGAACAAAATAAACTAAAAAAAAAAAGCAAAACGAACAAACAAACTAACTAAAAAATAAAGCACAACCTGCCTCTTACATTTTACCCACATCTATTTAATCTTTTCCGTTTTTGGAGTAAGCTTTTAGTTAAGATTTATCTACTTACTTATTACAGCTACAGAAGGGAAGTTACAATTATTATAGATAATAATTACATAAATTTAATAACACATTTCTTCAATTTAACCACTACTGTTTTTTGGATCTTAACTGTTTCCCTTTAATTTTTTTTCTCATATAAAAATTTTCGTATTCTAAGTTCTTATCCCTTCGTAACAATCTTTCTGCTTTCCTTTTCTGAAATTGATACGTGATGTCTTTTCAGCTCCTCAGTCTTCTCTCCCAAGTTTCTTGTCTATTCTATCACTTCAAAAATGTACTTCTCTGGGCCTGGCAGCGCGGCCTAGCGGCTAACGTCCTCACCTTGAATGCGCTGGGATCCCACATGAGTGCCGGCTCTAATTCCGACAGCTCCACTTCCCATCCAGCTCCCTGCTTGTGGCCTGGGAAAACAGTTGAGGGCGGCCCAAAGCCTGGGGACCCTGCACCTGTGTGGGAGACCTGGAAGAGGTTCCTGACTCCTGGCTTCATATGGGCACAGCACCAGACGTTGCAGTCACTTGGGGAGTGAATCATAGGATGGAACATCTTCCTCTCTGTCGCTCCTACTCTCTGTACATCTGACTTTCCAATAAAAATAGATAAATCTTTAAAAAAATGTACTTCTCTGCATTGAGTTCTTGGTAGCTTACTTAATATTATTTGTAGGTTTTAGTAGATTATTTGATTATGTCCAGGTATTTTTGTTAGTTTACCCATTCATGCTATTTTTTGTTGCATGTTCCATAATAAAATTTCTTACTTTATGACACTGATACACCTGAGCAAATTCATTTTTTAGTGTTTTCACAACACTTTTAAATGAATCCCATCTGGAATAACTTAATTGTACTAGTGTCAGAATTTTTCATATAATTTAAAATTTTATTTTTCAGGATCTATTTGAAAAAAATGTGTTTTAGTTTTATTTTTGTTTATCTCTCTGCTACACTTGTCCTTTAACAAGATATGTAATACAAGTAATGTCACTATCCCCAAAAAGTTCAATGTCAAAGGTTGTCAACATTCCCAGTGAAACCTGGGACAGCCGTTCTTGTTCCAGGAAAGCTGGTAGGCAGTTTAGTTCAAACACTAGCCACTTGACTTTTTCGGCCTCATTCACACTCCTAGATCAAAGCTTGTTGTGAATCCCATCAGCAGGCAACAACTGCTGTATTATCAGCCTCCTTCTATGTACAGTGACTAAGACTCTACACCCATCTTCAGGCACTGAGCTGCTCTGATTCCAATGAGCAAAGTGGGAAAATACTGAGACCTACAATGCTGACTATGCCTGGTTGTACTTCTAGCAAAACCACTGGCTCTAGAAGATCTCACAGCTTTGCAAACAGAAATGTTTGCCCCATTTTAGGCTCATCTCTAAGTTTTACTTAGTTCTCTACTGAGCAGAAGCTTCTGACCCAAACTATTTCTTTGTAAGGAGATGATAATCATAGCATCTACTTTTAAGAATACTGCGCTGAGGGGGCCCCAGAGCGATAGCCTAGTGACTAAATTCTCACCTTACATGTGCCAGGATCCCATGTGGATGCTGATTCATGTCCTGGCTGCTCCACATCCCTTCCAGCTCCCTGCTTGTGGCCTGGGAAAGCAGCAGAGGATGACCAATAGCCTTGGGACCCTGCACTCGTGTGGGAAGAAGCTCCTGGTCCCTTGCTTTAAATCGGCTCAGCTCTGGGCCTGGTGGCCACCTGCAGAATGAATCAGCAGATGGAGGCTCTTTCTCTCTGTCTCTCCTTCTCACATACATCTGCCTTTCCAATAAAAATAAATAAATCTTTAAAAATAGTATGCTTAAAAGCATTAATATTAATTTTGTTTATTAGCAGTGTTCTGTGGTTAATAAAGTAAATTAGCTGTGCCTCTGTGGTCTGAATAGCTAAACATCAGATCAAAATTGATGTGTCCGTTATTTGTGAATAACTAAAATGCCAGTAGAGGAGCATGATCAGGAGAACTTGCCACAATTTCACTTACACTAAAATCTCATATGCCATGTCTATCCACACTGCTTGAAAACAATAGTGAGCATTTGGTATTATGCAAAGGATGATTTTTTAAAACCAGGTAAGAGGGGCTGTTCTATGGTGTATCAAGTAAAACCATCACCTGCGACACCAGCACCCAGTTAATTTCCTGGCAGCTCCACTTCCCACCCAGCTTCCTGCTAACAGTCTGGGCAACAGAAGATATCCAAGTGCTGGGTCCCTGTCCCTCACTAAGCAGACCCAGAAGACACCCCTGGCTCTGCACTTCAGACTTACCATCTTCAAGCTGTACTCATCTGGGGAGTGAATCAATACATGGAAGGTCTCTAACTCTTGCTTTCAAATAGATATACCTTAAACAAATAAATAAGGGTCGGCATCATGGTGTAGTAGCTTAAGCCTCCACCTGTAACGCCGACATCCTATATGAAAGATCTCTATGTTTCTTGTTGTGTAACTGAATTTCAAATAAATTAAATAATCCTTCAAAAAATATGTATGGATATGTAAGGAAAGCTAAGGAAATGAAAGCCCCATGCCCTACAATCAGGGGGCACCTGTCGGTAACAACACTGCAGTAATTGCAGTTACTACCTTCAAGTCCTTAGAATCAACTTCTGGGTATGGGGAGTTCATAAACACCCTAAGGCATATCCATCAAATTCTACCTTCCTATTCTTTGAGCTGGAATAAATTAAGCTCAATTGAACAAACAGGAAGAGGGCAAATATAATGTTTATTTTATGAACACCCTTTTAGTGAAAGTATTTTACACTGTCATTCCATTTTATGTAAATATACACTGATATGTGATTTTCCTGAAGAGAGGAAAAATAAAAATACCACCCTCAGCCAAATTGCAAAATGTCTTATGCAAAGTAATGTCTGACACCCACTTAAATCCTCTGAGTCCTAATAATGTAACACTCAAACACTCTTGCACTCAACAAAGACGCAAACTGCCTTACATCAAGCCCATTTTTTTTACTTCAAACCACAAAAATCTCTCAAATTAGTCTAGGATAGTGACCTGTTTCACAGAGTTCAACGAGAATCGATTGAGAAAGCTACCTGGAAGACAGAAATTACTATAATTATATTTGAATATACCTATCCTTAAATAAAAATGGATGCCAATAAACCAGCAGAAAAATATCTGGACTATTCAGAGCACAGTATTACAGAAGTAAGACAATCTGCTTCACTCTTTCACGACATGTAAGCTGGACTCGAATCATCACATTTTATCTGTGTACCTTAATCTAAATATTTTCCCTCTGTATTTCTATTGCCAAGATAGGCGAATGCTTATTTTACAAAGATATATATGTTTGTGTATTATTCATAAAAACCAGCACTTATGTCCTTAAGGAAAATATAATTAGGGTAGGTAAAGAAGAAAAGTAGGTATTTTGGTAAGACTTGAACTGAAATAAACATGATATAGTAATCTTAAGTATTTATACTGAGGTTAGAATTCCAACTAATTTAAAACTGTCTTTGGAAATCATTTTAAAAATCATTGAAATTCTTTTGGGCCTTTTCCACAGAGGTAAAGCAGTAGCAAACAAACCAGAATGCTCAGTGATTCATGTAAACTGCCCTGTGTTCCCCAACTTCACCTTGTCAGTGAGTACTGCTTCCCCAAGGCTGCCCCAGGGTCCTGCTGACGGATGGCTCTAATGGCGGTTGGTGCTGTAAACAGGGCAGCCACTCCATGTTCCGCAAGCACGCGGAAATAAGCACCAGCATCTGGTGTTCCCACAGGCTTTCCCTACAATGAGATTCATTTAAAATGCCATTGAGTAAAATGCCTCATATTTCATTGACACATCAATACTTGCACATTTAATACAATAGCATTAATCACAACGGGTTCTCAACGAGTCTTCACTTAAAAATATTCCCATTTTCTATAATAAATAAGACAAACCAAGTACCCATGCAGATGAAAAGCTCTTTGGTTCATTTCAGCATCCTAAAACCTTCCCAGCATTATTTTCTTCAAGCTTTGAAAGATGTAAGATCAGAAAAATATACCAAGGTCATATTAAAAACATAAAGCACTCTCCTTTCCCCTTCCCCATACCCACCCCCCATGGTGGATTCCTCCACCTTATTGCAGTATTACAATTCAAATCCAGTCATAATTCTTTCATTGCAAGCATGCAATTTGCATAGTGTCCAGTATCTTATTGTCGAGATAGATTCAACAGTTTCTCAGGGAGACCATCTCTGGTCTGAAGGCAGAGCTTGCAGAATATTGTCCCAACCCATTAAAAGCCACAAGATAACATCAACCACGGTTTACAGCCTTATGGAGTTAACTGACATGGTATTGAGTGACCAATATGATTAGAAAGTGCAAGTTCTTAACCACATCCTGTGATTGCTTCATTGACATTTCAATTTTAGTATATACACAAACTTTAAAGTTAAACGTCTGACTCCAAGGAACTGCCCTGATTGAAAACAATCCAATGAGATATCCCTATATGTAACCTATGTTTTACTTAAAATGACACACATAGCTGATAGCAATGTCACATTTAAATATAATAATTTTGGCAAACTACAAAGCTAAAACTAACATCAGGCTGTATTAATAGATATTTCTACAAGTTTGGAAATGAGTAAGATAACAAATCAGTACATGCAGAAATTCTAAGTGATTCTAAGATCTAAACCAACCCAGCCATATGCTAAAAATTCCATAATCAATTCCCATCAGTATCAATTTCCTGTATGTTTAATGCAAGGAATATAGAATGTTAATACATATTTTCAAAAGTTTTGGCAGAGATTTGGATAAACAAAGAAAAATTACTTTATCTTGAAGAATGTATTTAAGGCTTAAAAGTACTCAGGTATCTCAATTTTGGTAAATCATATTTGTCCAGAAAATTTATCCATATCTTCTAGATTTCTCAACTTATTGGCATCCAGCTTTTATACTTCTCAATTACTTTATTTATCACTGTGGCATCAAAGGTAACACATCCCTTTTTTGATTTTGCTGATTTACTCCATTTTTTTTTTTGGAGATTAGTTAGGTCAATGGTTCGCCAATTTATTTATGTTTTCCCTAAAAAACATGCACTCAATTACACCGAACTTCATGGCTTTTTTAAAAAAACCTAAATTATCCAAAGATGGAAAATGAAAGAGTAATAAAGGCCTTTCCAATAAAGAAAAGCCTAGGAGCAGATGGCTTTACTGAATTCTAACAAACTTATAATGGAGAAATAATTTTAATTCTTCTCATGCTATACAAATAGATTTAAAGGGAAAGGAGAGAATTCCCCCAGCTTCACCTTAAGTCCAAAAATCAGAAAAGGATATAACTATAACAAAGGAAGAATTATATACCAACATCCCTGAGCAACACAGATGTAAAAATTCTTAGCAAAATACTAGCTACTCCAACAACACATACATTTAGAACAAGTGTGGTTCAACATACACAAAACAATGAACCTGCTACTTTACACTCAAAAACTGAAGAGTAAAACCCAGGTATCATTCAATAGATGCAAGGAAAGCATTTGATAAATGCAATGTCCCTTCATGATAGAAACAATAAGAAAGCTGCAAAATATGACAAACCTACAGTGAACATCATCTTCAATGTGGGATTGGTGGAAACATTTCTTCTGAGATTCCACAAGGATAACTACTCTCATTCATACAATTCATTACAGCTCCATAAGCTTTAGCTACAACAATTAGGCAAGAAAAAGAAACCAGGGGATAAAAATTAGAAATGAAAAGTCAAATTACCCTGTTTATAGATGACATGATCTTATGTAAAAGGAACTCAAAAACACCATTACAGCTCCTTTCAAACTCATAAGAAATTTCAGTAAAGTTGCACAAAATAAAATCAACACACAAAAATCATTAGCCTTTGTATACACAAAGAATTCCATAGCTGGAAAAGAACTTGTAAGGAAAATCCCTTTAACAATAGTTATACAAAAAAATAAATAAATGTATACCCTGGAATAAATGGAATGATGAATGTAAAAGATTTCTACAATGAAATTTTTGAAACAAAAAGAGATATAGAAGAATACCAAGTAAGGTAACATCTTTCATGTTTGTGGATTGAAAGAATATAGTCAAATATCCATATTATCTAAACAATTTACACATGCAATATTATCCCAACCAAAAAATTAAGGAAGCGATCCTCAGATTTAAACAAAAGGATCCTAAAATCCATACGGAGACCCTAAAGGCCTGGAATATCTGGAGTCATAGCAGTATCAGATTTCATGACATAATATAGAACAGTATAATTCAAACAAACTGAGACCGGCACAAAGATAGACCTATAACCAATGGAACAGAACTAGAACCCAGAAATTAATCTACTCATTTAAACCAACTAATATCTGCCAAACAAGCTAAGATCACTCTCTGAAAAAAGGACAGACTCTTCAAGAAACGGTGCTGGGATATACATATGCAAATGTATGAAATAAGAACCCTATCTTGCATCTTCCATAAAAATTAACTGAAAATGGGTTAAATCTGTCACTTGAAACCATAAATTATCAGAGGAAAACATTGAGGAAGCTATGCAAGATTCTGAGATCAGCAATGACTTCTTGGAAAAGATCCCAAGAACATATGTAGTTAAAGCCAAAATAGACAAATGAAATTACATCAATCCAAAAAGCTTTTGCAAGCAAAGGAAACATTCATTGAACTAAAGAGACAACAACAGAATTAGAGAAAAGATCTGTAAATTCTGCAATTGTTAAAGGATTAATATTTTAAAAATATCAAGAACTCATTTAAGAGCACCATGAAAAACCCCAGTTAAGAAATAGCAAAGGACAAGGACAGACATATATCAAAGAATGAAACACAAATGGCCAACATACCATGGAAAAACACTCATGATCATCAGCCATCAAGGAAAAGCAAATGAAAATCATGAGTTATCATCTCATCACAGTTAGAATAGCCATCCTCAAAACACTCAAAAACCAATCCATGCTGATGAGGATGTGAAGAAAGGAGTCGCCTAATTCACTACAGATGGGAATGCAAACTGGTACAATCATTGTGGAACACAGAAAGGTGAAAACAGATCTAACATGTGATTGGCCATCCCACTCCTGGGAACATATACAAAGAAAATGACATTTGCATATCAAAAGTCATCTGAACCCCATGTTTATATCAATTCAATTCATAATAGCTAAGATATGGAATCAATGCAGTGCCAGTCAAGGGACAACTGAATACAGAAAGTGTAGTTTCTGCCAAATGGAATATTACTCATCCATGTAAAAGAATGTAATCCTGAATTTTGCAGAATAATGGATTCAATTGGATACCATTATGTTCAGTGAAAGAACCAGACCCCAAAAACAAATGCATTTTCTCTGATTTGTGGTAGCTAAGAATAAAAACATCTAAATTTTTAAGAGTGATTTTATTACTGTTTATAGTATTTGATCAGATTTCTATGGAGCAGTGATCTAATTTTTACTCTAAAAAAAAAAAAAACTCATTCATTTTTATTTGGAAGGAAAATTTAAAGGAGAGGGATTGAGAAAGCTCTTCCTTCCACTGGTTCACTATCCAAATGGCCGAAAAGCCTGGAGTTCATCTGATCAGAAACAAGGAACCTCTCCTGGGTCTTCCATGTGGAACCAGAGGCCCATGGATCCTCGCCTGTTTTCCCAGGCCATAAGCAGGAAGCTGGATTTGAGGTGTAGCAGCTGAGAAAGGAACCAGCACCCATATGGTATACCAGTGCTAGCAGGTTCAGGGTTAGTGTTTTGAGCCAAAGCATCAGTCCATTACTTTTCTCTTTTTAAACCATACTTATGAATTATTAAGCAGGTGATCATAAGTAAATTTAAAATATGTTATCTCAAATATTTTTTAAAAAGGAAGGAAAAGGAACAAAGGAGGGAAAAAGGCATAAAAGCACACTTATTTTCTTAGAAATATACCTTGGCAATGTATAATATCTGTTCTTGTTACATTATTAAAACAGTTTTGTAAATTTTTAAAGTGTTGAAGTAAATGAGGAATTTCTAAGATAAGGGTTCCTGTATGGAATGTTTGCTAAACTTGTCACATCACATTTAAACTTTCTATGGATCAAATATCCTATAAAATACACAAGGCCAAAATGAGCTAAAGTTAAAATGGTGAAGAATTTGTTACCAAAATAGTCAGGGAAGGCCCAAACACACATGCATATGCATATACACACACAAATAACTTATGCAAATCTGAAGTAAACTGTCGAATAACTTAGATTCAATATCTAATTTGAAATTCTAATTCCTCACTGAAAGGATACTGTTTAGCTTTTAATTTGAAAATGATTATCTTGAATACATTTAGTGTAATTATGTTCCTTTTGAATAATTTCTTTAGATTTTTATATTCTACTGCTCCCTAATAACACAGATGCATACCCACAAAAACTACTTAGTGTAATCAAAATTAATTTTTATTAACACAGCCATCCCAAAGCAATTGCTTATTTCATTACCGCTTCATACTGGTCAGCATATTCAAACATTACAAAAAGTTACTAGATACCATCTAGCAATTCATGTACTTAATGCTGTGAGTCTCCAAGTACATTTGTCAAAAAATGAATCAGTAACTAATTCTTTATAAGAAAGGAAGGTAAATATTGCTTTTCTATTCTCCAATGTGTCATAGGCACTAATTAGTCTCTTGAGTCCTAGAGTGTGACTTTGGAAACCTGATCTCATAAACACTTCTTAACTAGTG